CCAAGTAACAAATTAAGCTAATAATTTTCTGTGCTTTCGTGTACTTCTACTGATGTTAAAATGTTATTTATGTTTATTCTTTAAAAATATTATGCATTGTGGAAATAGTTTTAATTGTAAATTAAAATAAACTGAAAAACTGAATAATAAACATGTGTTTGCTATTGGGTTTCTTTGAGGTAGATTTTTGAATGGTCAATCAAGAAACATTGATCTATGGAGTTAATAAAGTTAAAAATAAGACAGTAACTCGTGAATAACGATTAAATAGTATCATGAAGTAGTCGAGGTTAAAATTGTAAACAACTACAGTTCAATTGAATGGCTTATGTGTACTGTGTCTATCCAAATTTTACTGTTGGATTCTTAGCGGGTTAGTGATCACCTATTAGTGAAGAGTCAAAAACTAGAACAAAATAAAAGTATTTTTAATTAAATTTACTGATGAAAGGTTTAGTTTAGACAACAGAACAAATTTGGGGTATCAAAAGTTACGTTAAGTGCGGATAAATACGTTTTTCATGATACATAGCGTTTTTATTAAATTATTTTTCGTAAACATTTAGTTTCAATATAGGTGAATGTGTTAATAAACACTAACAAAAGGTTTTTCCTTTAAATTTCTTCAACTTTCAGACACAAGTCATTCAACACTAGGGTCTATGGAGGCTATTTTACTTGGCATTGATTAATATCAAACTCAACTGAAGAACCAGCTTAAATCAGGAATGACCTAATAATGTTTTAACTTGAGAGTAATATATTTTTGGATTCATGTCATTTATACAAATATATGTTTCCTAAAATTACCGACCAAAGAAATCGCTTACCACACCACTTACGTATACACAATCTTTTATCTTCACACTTTTCGTTTCAGACCAAGTATCTCTTACACACTAACGCAAATACCTACTTTAAACATTTTTAACGTTGATTGGATTACCTATTCAATATACAGTGAACCGAAGAACCATGTACCGATTTATATTCGATAATTTTGATGTTTGATTATATTTTCTTGAAAAAGTTTGGACCAGATAGCTAGGTGAAACGTTAGATTTACTTCGAATTAATTAGCGGAGACTTTACAAATTCATTCTTCCTCTTTAATATATTTGGAATTTGTAGACAGTTTGATTTCGAAGAATACGTTTCAGATTTGAAAACAAAATTCCGTTGAAATTACGCTCTATAATTGTAAATATTTTCTAGCATCTTAAATCTCTAAAACTTACTTCTCTTTTATGGGATGTTATTTAAAACAGAATAATGAGTTCTAAAATGATGGTGTTTGCTAAATTTACAAATAATCAGTAGTTAATATTATTTTGTAAAGCTAGAATTTCTACGTCTTATCAATAGAATTAACTTAAATCAATCTGAATCAATAATTGCGGTTTGTAGTGGGAATCGGAGTAAAAACCAGTACTTTATAATCTTAAAGACGAAGTCATATTGTTTAATAATGAAAGTTTAACACTTGACAGACTGAACGGTATTATTCTCCGATAAAGTCTTGGTGACTAAAGTAACGGACAACTGAAAAATATGAGTACACAAAATATTTAGTATCGGTAAAAACATTTATAGGATATTTACTTAAGATAATAATAATCATAGTTGCTTTTTAATGAAACGTATCTAAAGAATTTCTATTCAAACAAGTATATTAAAATAGATTGCATTTAAATTTGGATAATTTACGTTTAGAGAGGCCTTACTTCAATAGTTATTAAGGAAAATTATGTGTACGTTTACACAGTAGGAACTAATCTTATTAAAAATACTACTAAGAATTTTATTTTGACATAACTTAGATGTCACAATCTCTAAGAGCTAATTTTACAGCATTACAGTTTACTACACTGAAATTCTGTAAATATTACTTAGCCCACCTGTTTAACGAAAACGTTCAATAACTAGTGGCTATTATAATTGGTACCAGAGAATTAACACACTTAAATTGAAGAAAATACTCCATTTTATAGTAACTATTAGAAATTAGTGAAATTTGAATAAAATGATGGATTTATTATTTATGCATAAATGTCCCCCAAGAATACACGAGAACGACGATTCTCACAGCTAGTCAAAATTGTGTGATTGGTATATATCGGAGTTATTCAACAACGATTTAAACGCATTTCACTCTATTCATGAAAGTTTTACTATCAATACAAGACAACTATTGTTATATATAACTCATTTAGATTATTTATTATATTACCCCGAAATTCAAAACTGACCAAACGAGTGGCGATTGTGGGTGATAAGACATGAATAAATGAGACTGTATGGTGATCTTACAGGAGTATACCAGTAAATGATCATGATACTAAGGAGCTTCGGATATATGAACCTACCTGAATTACTCAACGTGTGCGTAGGCTCTATGTTCATTTCAACCATTTTTTAATTAGAAAACATCTGTACTTTTATATTGTGAAATTGCTTTTTGATATATTTTGTTAAATGATAACGTCAGATTTAGTGTAATGTTTGCATTGTTAGCTTGAATACTAGATTTAAACAACGCCACACATAGGTTTACTCCAGAAAATTAGGAAAACTTTGAAATTTGTTTGTGATAATTTGAAAATATGCAGTAAACTAACTTCATTTTTCAGAGCTATAAAACTGCTTAAATGTGCAAAAATCGTATTTGAAGCCACAAGGTGGAGTTCCCTACCACAGCCAAAACATTTGAAGAATTATTGTACACTATATTAGGGCTACTAAAATTTCGGGTTTAGACAGTAAACCAGAATAATCAATCAATCGAAAGAAGGACCTTAGTATGATGAAATACAAACTTATCTTTAAAATCATTAAAACTTGATGTTCACTTTGATAAATAAAAATATAAAAATGTGTGCAAACCAAAGGTTTTCAACTAGTTTGTCTACTGTTAGCTTTTCAAGATCCGGCCACATCTAATATTTAGACGTCATGTCCTTTGCTGGCCTATTTGTTTGCTACTGAGGTTTGTGTTAACTCTTAAAACTTTGAAGGCCTTACGACTTTCAATATTCATCATTTACTCTTTTCTACTGCTTGTTATTACAGGTTATATTTACGCAGAAATGCAGTTTGTTCCATGATACAAAAATCAAAAGATGCACTTACTAGCTAAGGTATTCTGTGTTAAAACCACTAAGTTTATTCTTAATATGGAATGATTTTTACTGAATTTATCAAATAAACAGAATCAAACACATTTCAGATCAGATGATTACGACGTTATAACCTTCGAAATCTGATATACAATTTCGTTGAAGTAATAGAAATAAATGCAGTGACTGAAAAGCAAATTACAAACTATTAATTTTATCAGAAAGCAAACAAGCCACACAATCCTCTAAACGTAATCGATCGTGAATTAGAATTTTTCAATGAAGGATGTCCAATGCTACTAGGCTTAAGTGTTGGAGGTTGAGTTATAAAGCCTAGAGTTGGTCAACTATAGACTGTCTACAAAAAATAATAACTTCAATAATCAGATTTGATCATAAATGCAAACCAATTTAGAACATTGTGGTGTAGCTTTGAGGCCTTTAGATAAATGTGATCATTGACGAAATATCTATCACCACAGCTTTTTATTAATTTTATTTTTCTAACAAAAGGATAAATAAAAAACAATAGGATATAATGTCGAAGCGAGCTATGCTAGAAAAAAATCCACATACAGGTAGGGAGATGATATGACATGAACACCATACGAGCTTTGTGTCAATATTCCTTTCCAAATAATTATGTACCGTGACGTTTAGAAGTATAATGTCATGAACATTTACATATTTGGTTGTCAATTAGTGTTGCCACCAGGAATTTCAGACAACCAAATAATGATGGAAGAAATTCATATAAAGTATCTTGTGAAATACTATGCAAAACATTTCATAAACTCAGGTTAATTGGTGTACTTCCTAATTGCTGAATGTCTGTATTACATAATCTACAGAAAGACTTATAAAACTCGAGTTAAAAAGTAAATGCTTTCCACACAGTTGAAAAAATTATTGCTGAATGGAGAGAATTTTAGGAATGGTAAATGGAATTTAAAGCGACGTTCATTTTTCACTTATAACCTAGTAGTATGTTCTGGGTGGAAATTAAAAATAACTTATCAACTAATGTCAAAACGTCATTACATTTAGATGAGTTTATTCTCAAGTAGGTCAACCTCGCTTTGCAAGCAAAAGGAAGAATAGAATTACATCTAGAAATAAATATATGCCTGGATACTCTACTGAGAGCGTTTTAGAACCATCGTATTTTTTGCAACTTCATGGACAAAATAGCACCTAGTGTGTATCACTTTTGAAACTTATTATATTTAAGTAATTATTTGACTTAACTGTTGAGGTGACTGAAATAAAATAATATGATCTACAGAAAAACACTACCGTGTCAAAATAATTCATAAGACTACTGATTACACATTATTTTCTGCTACTTCGTCAACGAAATAAAACACAAATGTGAAGTAATGAAAATAAAGTCACAAGGTCCAATAGAAATTAAACAGGAAAATAAGATTTGTGGTACCACACATTTTTGGTGAGACTATAATTGATTGACAACCTTTGAATGACACCAGAATGACCTTGAGAGTGTCCACATAAAATCGTTGCCCGAAACCAGTGTGAAGAATTTTAAGTATGATTAGGAGTTAGTGGTTAAAGATAGGAGCCACATTAAGAGTTTTAATCACGAGCTGGAATGATCTATAATCCCAAAACTCCTTTAAGCAAAATGTGTGAGTGCGTTCTGTGCCAAAATCGGAAACTAGTGATCTTATACGTAGTTGGTTCGTCATTAGATTATGGTCTCGCCATTTCTTCGCAAAGATACATTGAAACAAAATTTTCAAAACCAAAAATGTTAACCGACTAAATATGTAAACCTAAATTGCTATATCTGAGTATTTAGAATGCCCCACGTTTTCTTATATGAGAACACAGCTGGATATGCATAATATAAACATCACTTACCTCCTATAACGATACCAGCAATGGCGGATGAAGATAAGTTAGCTCCAGAGTTTTCTCTCATGTATTCAGAATAAGCAGAAACATATTCTTTCTTTGGCATAAGCCTAATGATATTATCATCCATCCTGTGACAACTCTAAACTCATATCACGCTCTATTTAGGGCAAAAATAAATCCTTGAGAGGTAATTCATTTAAACAATGCATTCCTTACATGATCTGTCTTTTATCTTTTCGAAATGATGAACCACCTCCAATTTATATTTGCTGATGAAACTGAATATATTTTGTAGTAAACAAATTCCTCTATTCACTATCTACAACGTTTGTATTGACGAATTCCCGGTATTCATAAGTGAGAAGCACATAAGTTGCATCGATTTCAAATATTTTTCAAAATTCATCTTATTGCTCTGTTTTTTTAGATGTAATAAGGCAAATATGGTCCATTCGGAGTTCGACAACGCCTTTACCACTAACAACTTTATAATCGAAGTTTGTCAACCTAGACAAATCATAAGTCAGAAGTGAAGATGTTCGTAATTATGTCTGAAAGACTATCGATAAGTAGATAGACGTTTGATCTAGACAGGCCAGAGTTTGCAAGAGATGCGTAGCCGGAGTACCCACTCATGATCAGGTACACATGCATGACTGTCAGCTAGGGTGGGTCCGGTAGAATCAATGAGGACAGCAACATTGTTTATAGCTTACAGAACTTTCACTTGACGGGCTTCGAGAATCAGTGGATTAAAGATGCATACAGGTGAGAACAAATGTATATTTAACAATAGAAGGAAAAATATTGGCAAATTACAGTGATGTATCGTCCTGAGTCCTTAATAATATATAAAGCTTTCCCTCTGGTGACATCTGTGATTTCTCTTAGGCCACCTCAGCTGGCAGCGAATTCCGCAATTCGGTTACTCTCAAAAGGGTAAAAAGAGTGCCTACAGTCCTATCTAACATGTACTATCTTCAATTTCCGTGTATTAAGTTTAGTGCTATGAAAGTGTGTTCCTCCCTGAAACCTCGCTGTCGAGGTGAAATTATGTTATGGACAATAACTACCCTTTTTGACTATCGTACATCTAGAACTGTGGAACTCTAAGGGTGTCAAGAGAAATGCTACTGGCCGATTATTTGAAACTTCACTGTATCGACTTCCTTCAATATGTATAATGATCCAGCTCCCAATATTTTGAAAGAGCGCTGGATGATTTAACTAGGGCCCGGTTTGATTTCACTGGCCTTATGAACATTTAAAGTAAAATATTCATAATAGTTGTATAAAACCGAATATACGATGCATCACCAATGCTACCTCTAGGTTCGTTAAACCTTAGAACTTCTGAGAGGGCCGTTTAAATATATCAAAGTTATCCACAAGCCATGCTGAAAATATATAACAGCCTAAAATCCTTATTTGTATATTTTTTGTAGCACACTCAACATATGAAACATAAATCACGTTTATCACACTGGGTGACGTCTTATATCTTCTAGGGCTTGTCTATACTCTTTTTTTGTTTTATAACGGATGTTGTTTAGTCGAACTGAAATAAGATTTTTACTATGAGAACATACGATAGCTTTTCAAAATTAAGGATGTAACGTATGTACTTTCTTGCTTCAACAAATTCTGCCTTCAGTTAACCAACCACCTCAATTTACGACTTTGTTTTTGCTTAGTTTATGTTCGTAGTTTTATTCAACAGACGTAAGTGCGTCTTGTGGTACTTATTGAGTTATCCCAATCTGTGCGAATTTCTTGGGTTTTCCGTAAAGTTGTAAGAAATATGATAGTTTTACACAAAGTTTAAGGAAACCTGAGGGTAAACCTCAACATTTTGAAAATTACTCTACATTTTTAGACCTGGGGAAATCGCGATTTTTTGTGACATTTTCAAACATTTTCTCCAAGGTTTTCTAAATTACATCAATCACATTGGGCTCCACACTTTAAAAAAAACGTATACGATCAGACATAAAACTCTACATGACTCAGTTTAGTACAGACATTTATTTATCCATAAGTCATTTTTAGCCATATGAAAAACGTTCATATATATGGACGTCTCTGTGTATGACGGTTTAAATAATAAAAATTTCACTGTTTAGTTTAATCTTCCCACCCTTGAAGAAAACGTTTGAGATGTAAATGTCCATTACTATTGTATTTTATCAACTATCGAGAACTATCTTTGGTTTATTTACTAGAATCTCTCTCTCTCTCTCTATATATATATATATACATATATATATTTAAATGAACATTATTCCATAGTTTTGAGTCGTGGTATGATGTAATGCCTAAGAGGTTTTTCAATGCGCTTTGTAAGTCTTTAAGTTCATTTTAAACCATTTTGATGATAAAATCTGTCATTTTTAGCCTATCCTTCAGAAGAAAACGAATTTATGCATGTACACCTGTTAAACTGAGGCAAGTTCAAGTAGCTCACCTAACGAGCCAGTCGCCCATCGTTATTGAGCTTTGCGGTAGCCCACAGTTTTTTACCAGCATTTTTGCTTAGTACTCCTTCACTCTTCAGGAAATTAATTATATAATGGTCCCTTAAAAAGCTACCTATTTCCACTGTAGTAGTGTTTATGTGAGAAACATGTTTTTTTATTATTCATGATTAGCCAGTTTGATATGATTTCATGGATATATAAAAGACTTCTCAAATAGATGAGTGCCTAATCACTATTTGGGTCAAGAGTAGCAAAAACGTTGTGATAATTCTTGGAGTATTAGTACTATTTATTCAGTTTAATGAAATCGGAAATAAGAAAATTGGTGAACACTGAGAATATCAGTGCTTAAATATAAGTTGGTTGTGTTACTTATATGTTTTGGCTGCAAAAAGTGTAGTTATTTGACCTTTTGTAGTAACTTGACTTACTGAATACTCTTTGTCTAATTACTTCAGTCTTCAGTAATAAGGATAGTAGGTTGATGAACCTGTGTTAATCCTGACACATTGCTTTCCAGTGAAGGTCCAGCTTTTCCTTGAAAGTATTCACTGATGGGGCTGATACCACTTGTTCGGGTAAGGCGTTCCAATGATTGACTACTCGATGAGAAAAACGGGATCCCACTTTAAGTTTATTAGATCGTGGTTTATGAACCTTCTTGCTATGACCTCGGAGATTATTAGTGCTGGAGGGAGCAAAAAGATAAGACATATTAACACCCAAATCATAATTAAAGATACGAAATGCCAGTATAAGGTCACCTCGTGTCCTACGATACGACAAGGGGAAAAGATTTAGGCGTTTTAAGCGCTCATCGTAAGGGAGACTAGAAAGACCCTTCACTAATTTCGTTCCCACACGCTGGACACGCTCAAGGGAGTTAGTATCCTTTACTAGACACGGGCTAGCTGCTTGGATACAGTACTCTAAATGTGGTCTAACATATATGGGATATAAAATTCGAAACGTTTCCTCGTCAAAAGATTTGAACGCTCGGCGAAGTGACCATAACGCACGAAAACCTTTGACAGCGGCTGCTTTGCAATGCGCAGTTGTTTTTAAGTCATGACTTAATATTACTCCTAAGTCCTTATGCTCTTGAACGCATGGAAGAGGTTTACCCTCAATAGTGTAACGGTAACTATTACCGTGACCGACGTGCATTAGTACACTCTTCCTAGCATTGATTTCTAAGCCCCACTCTCGAGCCCATCTAACTAAATCGTCTAAATCAGCTTGAAGATCCACATGATCAGCCGCACTTTTTATTGTTCTCCAGATTTTTACATCATCTGCAAACAATAATGTCGACGACCTAAGTAACAGTGGTAACTCATTAACGTAGAGAAGGAAGAGCAGAGGGCCTAAGATGGTGCCTTGGGGTACACCACTTTTGACCGGCTTCCAATCGGATAGCGTTCCATTGACCCTAACTCTCTGTCTGCGGTCACATAAGAAATTTCCTATCCACTCATGTACAGTACCTATTATTCCGAAGCTCGTGAGCTTCTGCATAAGACCTACGTGTGAAACCTTGTCAAACGCTTTGCTAAAATCTATGAATATCACGTCGACAGACAGACCGTGATCTAGGGCTGCTGTCCAATCCTCCCTCGCAATAAGCAAGTTAGTCAAGCATGAACGCTTGTTACGAAATCCGTGTTGCTCAGGAGCTAACAGATTGTGTAAATCTATGTGGCTTAGCAACCTAACCCGAATTATCTTTTCGAGTAACTTAACGACTATGCTAGTTAGACTGACAGGCCGGTAGTTAGATACTATCTGTCGCTGACCGTCCTTAAATATAGGACTAACTATAGCGTCCTTCCAATCTCTAGGGAGTTGGGCGAGTGAGAGGGACATGTTGAAGAGTGTCGCAAGCGGTTTTGAAATAATGTCCGCAAGAGATGACAGCAACCGTGGATGTAACCCGTCAGGGCCCGGTATCTTACCAGGTTTGAGGTTAGTTATCAACGGAAGGACAGTTTCCTCAGTCACCTGTACAGATTCAATGGTTGGTATCTCGGTGTGAGTGGGACAAGTATTTGTTACAATAAACGTAGAGAAGACTTCGCTAAAATAATCTGAAAAAGTCTCAGCTTTTGCTCGATCTGATTCAGCTAGTAATTCTGAATTTTCGTGTAACAGCAACGGGGGAATACCATCACTACGTTTCATTTGCCGTTTAACATACGAAAACAATCGTTTCGGACAAGTACGGCTATCATATACTAACTGTCGTTCGTAAGTGGTACGGGATTTCGCTATGGTTTTCTTACAGATATTACGGTATTTTTGATACTCACGCTTAAATGGTGCATGACCTGTCAACAAGAATAAGTCCCAGAAATGTTTCCTACGCTTTAACAGCTTCCGGGTTTCCTTATTAATCCATGGAGGGCAATGTGATAGCTTACGTGCTGACCATGGGATAAACGGCGACGTTACGGACTCGAATGTAGCCTTAAACTTATTCCATTCATCTTCGATCAATCCATCCGCGTCGACCGACCAATCAGTCGAGATAGCACGGTTTCTGATTTCCGGAATATTAGCTCGCCAGATATTGGGACGGGGTGGAGCAGATACGAATTGTATACCATGTGTCCTAAACTTAAAGTGAATTACAACGTGATCACTGTTCACTAGTGGAGGAAGGTGCTGGATATCAAAGACATCCTCAGAGTGGTGGGTGAGGGCGAGGTCCAGCAGTGACGGATCATGATGCAAATCAATATGTGTCGGTTTTGTGATACATTGTACAAGTGCACACTGAATAACGGTAGATAAAAGGTCGCTATCGAAACCACTACCTGGAGCTGTAAGCTCTATCCAGTTGATATGCGGTGCGTTGAAGTCCCCAATGATGAGACAACATTCTGCCATACTCCAAGAACAGATGTGTCTTAGGATAAAGTCGTCAGCCAGACAAGACGGACTACGGTATATTCCCCCTATAGTCACTAACCCATTTCTAGATTTAATCTTACAACATGCAACCTCACATGTGCCACTGATATGAGCCTCCGATATGGTTGATTGTATACGAAAGTGATCCCTAACGTAAATATTATACCTCCCCCTTGCGACTTGAAACTCTATCACTTCTGATACAGATATAACCAGCAATGAAAGGAGAACAGTCTATATCAACGGTGAACCAAGTTTCTGTAACAACGATTATATCGGGACATAATTCTTGCACCATCAGACTTAGCTCGGACGTTTTATTTCTAAGACTACGAGCGTTCGTGTAGCACACACTTAAGGTGTTTTGGAAATCAATCGTTCTACCCATACAGGCCTCGGAAGCATTGGCTTCCAAGACCTGACTACCCGAAAACCCTTAATGGTAAGGTTATTTTCGCCATTTAATTTGCGAGTCCTCAACTCCGTAAGAGCATTCTTCCACTTGATTCGATCCTCAAGCGGCCAATCTGGTCGAATACGGATATTTGAGGCACGAGTTTTTAGTGCGCTTTTCAATAATATGTCTCTTTCTTCAAAACGCCCGAGAACCAGCTTCAGGATTCTTCTTGGTTGGGTCTCGCCTCCAACCCATTTACCAAGTCGTATTACTTTTGTAATATGTACCCCTGAAACCTCTTCAGGTACGACAATCATAAGAATTTCAGTATAATCGATTGATTGCTATGATAAGCCTAGTCAAGTAATTCAAGAGGCCAACAAAAATAGAAAAATAAAAATTGAGCCTTTTCTTTAGATCTTGATGGGATTGTTAGACAGGTTCAAATTTCACAGAATTGCCAATATCCATTTACAAACTGTCAGATGTTAGAAGGCGTTGCAAAATGTCCTATATTATCAGTTTTAACATTAGGTAAAACGTCATCTTTCATTCCAACTAAAATAATACTGCATGATACTTACAGTTTCTTCAGTAATCAATTTAGTATCTAATTTTCTGGCTTCAATAGGTAAAACATTCAAATAAATCTGTCAAGTAGGACAAAAAACATCATTTTTTATGACATGTTAATCTTCAGAAGGTATAAGGAACTCCAAGCACTTTAGTATTATTAAACTGTCGACTCATATCATAAATTAACTGGAAGTTTGATTTCATTTTATTGAATAAAAAAATTGTCAAATATTGTTTATGGAAACAATGCTGTATGAAAGTTAATTTTGATTGAAGTGTTTAAAAAACCGTTTGATGTATGCAAGGTTTTTGGGTTTACTCCCTATCTGTCATTAAATAGGTTTCAAGAAGTAGAATGACTGGAAATTTTAAGCTTTTTATCTCAGTATAAGCAAGTAACTAGAAGAGTTAAGAGATACAGAACGTTTATGAGATCGAATTGGTAATAGCATAAACACCGCTACTTGACTTCTAGGTCTGCTGTATCCTTAACCGTTTTGGTATGTGCTACTAAAGGAATGACAATTCCATAGTCTACTTAGAGGAGATGATTAATGAAGGAAATATTATGTGCTTTGTTTGTTCGATTTAGAAATCATATGAGGTTGATGAATTGTTGGACTTTTAATATTTAAGGAAGTTGAAGAATCAGAGTTGAATCATATTTATGAAGTATTTTTGTTACTTTTGAAGTAAACATTCAGATTGTTTACAGGATTACTTTCAACCTGTGCTCTTTAAGTCACAGGAGTTCTCGATACTATCTCAGTATTTGTCAATGTAGGGTTTTGTGTTGGCTGTACACTGATACTGGTAGAATGAACTGTGTCAGATCATGAATACTTGCGAAAATTTGGAAAATTTTCCCCAAAGTGGATCACGTATCTTATATCATTTAGTAGTTAAGATTTTCTGTAACCCCAGAGTTATTTGTTTTATCAGAGCGCCCAGTAACATATACTGTCTAAAAGAATAAAGGTGATTATGAGATGGAATTTTATGTAGGCAAAAATAATTCCTAGAGTGCTCAAAATAAAATAGGTCTGTTTAACTCTTAGTGATTGCAAATGGCTGTTATATAAAACAGAATTAGTATGTATACAAAACTAACTGTTCTATTACTTACCGATTTGGATTTTATTTGTCAAATTATACGTTATTTCTGTTTGATATACCCATCCTATTAAAACATCTGGAGTATTCATTTCTTTTAAAACTTAGAACTTGAAATAAACTATAAATCATGAAAAACTCAAACGAAAAAGCAAATCCAGTTGAAAATACTTTGCGTAATAAGGTTAGTTACTTATTTATTTATTTAATAATTGTAACATGACTGAAAACCTGCTCAATTAGAGTGCTAGAGGTCGTTCTAAAAGTCGAAGCGGACGTAAATCAGAATCGTCACTTGGAAAATCAGCGGAAAAAAGTGGCAGCAAACATTCTGATACAGTGGATGGGTCATCATTGGCATCAATCAGAGAAAGTCACAAACCATTAAATATATTCATTCAAAATGAACTAATGCCTAATTGCACACCGATATTTTTATCAAAATCAACACAACAGATATTTAATATTGTAACTGATGAACAAATTACCAAAGAATCACCAATCATTTTATTGAACAAATCTGATATACTTAAAGATTTACAGTTACGTGCAGCTGTATCAGATTTCAGTGTACAAAAAGTTGCAATAAAAAATTATCCCGGTTCTGATATTTTATTAATTTACGATGCAGATTATAAATTTGGTGAAAATTTTGTCATTGTCTTATCTGAAGAGACAAAATCTCTTATACTGAATCCACTTAAACAAGCAGTTGACGGTCAGTCAGAACATAATGGTGATGGTGATGAGAATGATGGAATAAACGATGATGAGGATAAGATAGAAGAATACAGAGAGGCCAGTGATTTATGTTTTCTATTCAAATCGAGATCAGAACATGGTTGGATTGAATTAGGTTCAGAAAACGAAATTGCCGAAATGAATACTTTTGAAACACGTTCAAAAGTGTATACAATTTTTCAAAGACCACGTAAAGAATTTGGTAGTGTATTACATTTACAAGATGAAAGTGCGACAAAGAAAGGTTGTTCTGAACAGATTTCATCACGTGAAGATGAATCATTTAATATACCTATAATGGAGTTAGATAAATCAGCCACAAATTGTGAAACCACATGTGATAAAGGTATTAATACAAATTGGAAATATCCAAAAAATGCTTTCACTCATTATGTTCCTAGAATGTTTACATCTGATGAATTAAAACATTATTATCATGAAAATAATGATGCTTTACGTAATATATCGAAATTATACACACTATTTGAACAAAGTCTATTAGAAAATGAAATGTACAATTTTTTATCAAATGATTATGAGAATTTGCCCATTGGTGATGAAACTTATGATACAAGAAGTGACAATACATTCAAAGAATTTCTATCATTTACTGATCTAAAATTTAGTAAAAATAAAGCTATTACAATGATTCAATGGCATCCAAATATTAAAGGTATTATTGCAACATCTATTAGTGAACGGATAATTTATGATCAACGTATTGATCAAGCATCACGAATTCTTTTACAACCAACACATATTATATTATGGAGTTTTAATGATCCATTAAAGCCTCAATTATTATTACATGCACCAGATGATATTATGTGTTTTCAATTTAATCCAACTAGTCCGAATTATATAGCTGGTGGTTGTATCAATGGACAAGTAGTTCTGTGGGATATTGAAAAACATATTGACGATTTAACTAATGTTAAATTACGATTGAAACAAAATAATCAAATGCCTTTATTTGTTTTTGATGAGAATGAATTAAATAAAGTATCAACATCACATTATTCTGCTTTAAGTAATATTGAATCATCACATAGTTCACCAATTATGGATTTGAAATGGATACCGGATCATATGGAAATTAATCGGTTAGGATACTGTTTTGAAAATCATGCACAGAAATGTGTTCAATTAATGACATGCGGTTTAAATGGTGAAATATTACTATGGGATATACGACCAGAGAAAACACCATTAGCTATAAACAAAACAAGTGATTCAATTAAACCACCAAATAATGTACCACTAACATTTTCGACACTGGATTTGAAATGGAAACCATTATTAAGAATACATTTATATACAAACGATCCAGTTAATGACCATGTACCAATTAAGTTTTGTATACGTGTAGGTTGCATTTTATTATTCTACTTTATTATTATTGTATAGTTTTCCTTAAGTTATACATATCTCCAATAAATACCAAGATGTAGTTCTCTTGATTAAGGTGATCAATGGCTAGAGACGTTGTCTGATACGGTTCTTAACAGGTCGCAACAGCACAGATGCATTCAACTTTTGTCCCTCCTTAGGTCGTGATATGGGAAAATATTTTATATATTATTCTGAGAATAAATTCTTTTTTGAACCATATCTTTGAAGTTTAATCTTCTTTTTGCTATTTCTGATACTGATAATACGTTTATTACTCAAATATTCATCCCAATAATTTCGTCTCGTTGTGCTGATAATAAATATTTCTATTTTTCAGTATTAAACTTATATATAGACTTGTACGTACCTTTTAAATGTATGTGTTTATCAATATTTAAATACTTTATGTTCTTCATCCCCTTCTTTATTGTTTTATGTCAGTTTACATTATCCATTAGAACATTCTAGCTCTAGAATTGATTTCATTTATTTCACGAATAATATACATTTTGATCGAATTTTTTAAGGACCTAATGTGATAATTTCTTGTTTGAAGGAAATGCAGGGAGATCGCAGATTGCTAACGTCTAACACAAAAGATTCCAGTATCAATATAACTGACAACTCATCTAAATTACTCCCACTTCCAAACGCCGACACACATATTTATGCCGGGACTGAAGATGGTGTTATAGTTTATGTTGACTGGATACCACATAAAGATCAAGACACTGGGAAAATGCAAACACCCAAACCAGAATTTTGTTCCTCACGACATGATGGTCCAATTAGTTACCTTTGTCGTTCACCGTTTGATTCCTCCCTAGTCTTGGCTATTGGTGGATGGATATGGACAATGTGGAAGGAAGGAGTTACCAGTGGGCCGATTATAGAATCTGGCCGCGCAAATAAACCATTAACAGGTTAGTGTATCTAATGTTTAATTAATGTTATCATTACAACATCATTTTGTTCGTTGATATGTAGAAGAAATTGCCTCCTCTTTTACTGTCACTGTCACCAATAGCAACCACAAGCATCACTGAGTTTCGTCCTGTGTTACTAAAATCCTATGTTACACAGTCTCTTAAATACAACCCTATAATATCAGATGTTCTCACTGTAATTCTTTTTTCAGAGTCTAGAGCAGTAGGGCTTGTACAAAATAGATAATGAAATAAACTATTTTCAGTTATAAAGATATTCAACTTTCAAGAGATCTCTTTGCTAAATATCAAGCTTTTTGGTTTAAGATTGTTATCATCTGCAGAGAGTGATTCAGAAAATATGCACAAAACCATTAATTCTAAATTGCCAAAATTTATTAAAGTTTTATCCGTTTAACGCATTCTACTTACTGATTTTGTCAAATAGTGTTGATCAACAATAAAAGTCTGGACATAATTGTCAGTCCAAACTATTTGTGATAAATGATATTTTCTTCGTCCTGTAGATAATCGACAAGAATATTATGAATGAATTTCGATTTGTCTATACTGGTGATAATGTAGTTTAGCAAAATTCATCACAATGGTAGCATTTTAAATGTCATTCCAAAATGAACTGACCTAACAGTTCAAAGTGAGAATTTTGTCGCTTGGTCAAAATAATTTAGTACGTTAGAAAATCTAAAGTGACTAATTGTAAAAATTCCAAATACTTACAGGAAATAGACGAAAAATTAATTAATTTAGTATTCCCGGTTGACATGTTTGGTTTATGGAATATGCAGTGGAGGGTTCGGTTTGTTTCCTATCTGAATAATATTGTATCAACTATTGTAAAGCGTTTTTCATGGTGTTTTGTTCTCTGAGCTGGTTGGTTTGGTCGTGCATCATCATCATTCTTCTGAACTACATCATCAGCATATATATATATATATATATATATATATATATATATATATATATATATTGGATTGAATTAATTGGTACATCAAGCTCACAGAAACAATATGATTGAGCTGAATAAAAACTCACTGGTTCATACTTCTATCCTTTGTCAATGGGATTGGATGATGTGCAATTTATCCATATCTTTTCTTCTTTTCAGTTAGACACGTAAAAAGTTTTTACTTTTATTGCACTAATTTACCAATATCATTAAAGCGATACTCTGTATTTTTCATAAATAATTCTTATTCAAGGTGGCAGTTGGTCTCCTACACGTCCATCAGTATTTTATACATGTCGTGTTGATGGTAGTATAGAAGTTTGGGATTTACTTGATAAAACTTATGAACCAACGATGATTCAGTCAATATCTGCTAATCCACTAACTGCTTTATCTATATGGGATTCACCTAAACGTCAATTTATAGCAACTGGTGATATTCAAGGTGTACTACAATTATTTATTGTGAGTTTATTTTAATTTGTAAACCATGTTTTTTCCACTTTATTGAAATATAGAATACATAATAAAATCTTGATGATTTGAAATTCTATTCTTTTCAACAAAAAAATCCCCGATTAGATTAAAAGTCATTCAATATTATTTTCAATCTTTTATTAAGATTTAGTCGTCAGTCAGTCAGTCAGTCAGCTATAACGTAGGAAGAGTGTATACACCCACACCATTGTGATCGATTCTGAGCTATATCATCCAGAGTCTCTGACCATTGGTTACGATAGTCACACGGACCCCAACCAAGTAGTCTGCATCTATTAACATGGCTCTGCATTTTATTAACATCTTCACTAAATAGGACTATATCATCTGAGTATTCAAAATAAATGGCGAAAAAATTATAAATTTATGGGTCACTTTTTATTACTACTAATAAGCTATTTCAGTAGCAACACTTAAGTAATTTGATAGTTAACTATTTGATCAAAACATATTATCAGAAGGGGTTTTGTGGAGATCTTAGAAATTTCACTGGTTGAAATCATGATTCAATTGAAGCTAGACCACCATGGGAGACCTAGAAGCACTGGACGGCCGTTTCTTACTAAGTATGGGACTCCTCAGCAGTGCTCATCCACGATCCCACACCCCGCGAGTATCGAACCCAGGACCTATCAGTCTCGCGCCAGGCGCTTAACCGACTAGACCACTGAGCCGGCATCCAACGGTGTTAATTTCTAACTTCGGCCAATCCACGAAGTTGCGCCACCGTACACCATTGTCATCAGTGAGTTGATATCTCACGACAGACCTGGTTGAACTTCACTGGTAACGGCTTCTCACTAGAACTCCAGGAGTATCTCTTGAAGTCGGTCTCTAGTCAGCAGATTATAAAATTACAAGGAGTTAATAAATTGTTAAGTTGTATTAAAAAAAATAAGTAATTGAACTGAATTGTAAACATGATATTGATAGAGAATAGAGAATAATATAATAAACAGTGAAATTTTTAGGGATTGGAAAAATATCTAGATGAGTACACTTCATTTAAATTTTATTGTCTAATGGTCTTTCAAACACTGAAATATATTGACTAAAATACAAATTATAAAGTTTCTACCTATTTATATGACTTGAACTAATAATCAAATACTTTATAGGCCATTATTATATTTTCATTCTGTGTTTTTATGTTATTATTAAAATGACTTGTGAGGTATGTCATAAGATTTACAGTGCCTAAATTTTTTTTTTCATTTTCAATAAATTTGTGAATGTTATTTTATGTTAGACGTTATTAAATAGTTTATTTTTTATGAATTCTATACCAGATATTTGAGGATAAGCTTAAAATAAATCTAATACGGAAGAATGTGTCAAGTGATAGTAATATTAAACATAGACATAGTAATAAAATCTTTTACTATAAGGATAAAGTCAATAAATTTACATAGAGTTGAGCATTCACTAATTGACCACAAAGATTCATTTCAATTTACGTACAAACACTCCAGAAGTATTTTGGATGTTACACCAGTTTTGAATCATAGTAAAGTGTTCGATTTTGAAAATGATAATTATGTTCAATGAACTTTTCTAAATTATACTTTTGCCTTTACTTCACTCCATACTTGAAAGGAGAAATAAAAACTCTACAATATGCTATTTAATAAACATATAATGTGACCAAATGTTATAGGAGATAAGCTAACTTAAAACTTTGGCTATTATTGTTGTTATCATTATTATTAGTAGCTTTATTCAATATTATATTTTTGGTACAATATAAAATCTCAGCATAAAGTATTCCAACAAGTTTCGTTTTCTTATTTCTTGATTGATTCTTGAGATAAATATTGATTAGTCGCCAGTTAGATGTTAGCAGTTCAGCAATCAACATTTGAATAATGTACATTGTTTTCGACTCATATTGCCAAGATGTCTCTGATCGAGCTCTTTTGTAACTTGTACAGCGAAATGTCGAAAACTTGTCACAAACGCTTCTGAATAGGTGATGCGACCAATAGGCATAATGATTTGTTAAAACAAACAAGAAAACAGATAACTTGTTGAAATATCCTGATGGTAGGAACAGATTGTTACGGTTTTATGTCCGGCTTTTTATCACGTGATTTATCCACCAATCAAAATATGATTTATACAATCTTAACACTATGCCAAACCAATGACGTTCAACCGGTATGAGCAGTCTAGCGTCCTTATTGGTCCTATGTCCTCCTAGCCCGTTTGCTTTAGTCCAGAACACAATACCAGCTTCTGCAATATGAATCGAATGGAATCGGATCGAATCATTTATTTTAAACATACTCGGTTTATATATCAACCAGACAGACCACAACGAACCATAAAATTGAAAATAACATGTGTACACAAATAAGCCAAAAAGTGGCTGAGGACGCGGCAGACGGCAATTAATAAACTGGTATAATTTAAGAACAGTAAATCGTACCATAATAATATATAGATCAAAATGAAACTTATAATAAGAAGAATATGGATATACATAATCTAATTACTGAATAATTACACCATAAGAATATACAGGTAATATTAGTCAATTAATGTCTCAGGAGTTACTCGTGGTTTAATCTTCGCTCGGATATAACACAGATAGCTCAGATATTCAAACAGGCCGCCTGTAGTGCTTTAATAATAATAAATCCCTCGTACATAAATGCGCTCTTGATTCATATATTTCAACACATTACATTCACATGTTCACAGTTCTTTCTAGTCTTCAAGCTCTGGTTCATACTTAGCTACTAGGGTGCGATTGCATAGAGGTGGAAGTTTTGCTGCATTAAATAGACACAATAGTATTACTTCTTCCAGATATATGACTACTATACATATATATTCTGCAGTGTAAATAAATAATAGGAAAAAACTTACTAAAATACTTAACGCTAGAATTTCCTGCTGTACTAACATGAATTATTGAATAAAGCGATTACTATTTTCGTTAAATATCTTTATTGATATAAACATTATACTGATTATAGGTACCTAGACGTTTACAAACTCCTTTACCATCAGAATTAAAAAAATTCAATGAATACATTGAACGTGAAGTGAAAAGAAAAGAATTTGTTTCGATGCGTTGGAATTTAAGAGAGCAAGAGAAAATTGAACAAGAAGCGGAAAACAAAAGAAGGGCTGGTTTAGCACCAGCTGTTATGTTGAGCGACGAAGAAATCATTCAGAAAGAAAAAGTAAGTTAAAAGCATAACTACTGTGTAGTAATTGTGTTTAATTCTAATTAAAATAATTTATTATTTAAGACAAATATTGAGGGCATTTAAAGTTATAACACTTTTCTCAATGCAAAAATATTTATTTAAATATAAGAAGTGTCTAGACTACTTTGCTTATCCTGAAGGTTTCGTGGCGAGACTATAATTTATGGACGAACCAATCAGATTCAGGATAACAGGTCTAGAATTTTAATGCTATATTCATTCACCTATATGTCTAAATAGCGTTTCGGCATTTTTGCTGATGTCAGTTCGTGATGAAAATCACAATTGTAATTCTTAACTCTCACCATCAATTGTAAATCATAATCCTTATCCTTCAAACTGCTTTATAATCCTCATTTAGCCCTAGTAAGTAGGTGGACATTTCCAAGGTCACTTAAGCGTAGCTCAAATGTCGTTTATAAATTATAGTCTCACTGAGTTAATGAAACATTTACTTATCTACCTAAAATTTCTATCTGATAGCTCACTCCATATTTGTCTGAGGCTATGAAACAGCCTATGGAAGCCAGAAATAATGGGAGGTCATAAGTATTTGACCAAGGACGTTTTCAGAACATTGATCGGGTCTGATGAAATTGAAAACTGTAATTGTGCAGATTCACTAATGCGAAAAGCTTTGACCAAGTACACAGAACACACGGATTGCTCAAAAACAATACTTCAAAAATCACCTCGTCGAATCTCAAAATGTCATTAGATTTACTCATAGTTGTGGAGCCTGATAAAATAAGGTAAAGTTTCTTAATTAAAGGAGAACTATGGTATCACAGTAAAACTTATCTCAAGAAAACACAAGAAAATCATGGCTACTTTGATGTTTACTGTGTATTAAGTTAATCTAAATTTTAGTTCAGCTAGATGACTAAAATGAGAAGGGAAAAGTCTTACGTTTTTTATGTCATCCAATACAAGATCAAAAGCCAAAACGTTTAAAAAGAGAACGAAGAATATTATTACAGATGTTTATTTTAAAGAGTTGTCATCATCTACATAACTCTTAAAAACTGGATAGTATCGGACATCCGTTCTCTCCTAATGTCAAACTCTTCAGAAGTGTTCATGCACGACTCCACCAAAGATCGAAATCAAGACCTTCTGGTGTATCAAGAAGTAGACAACTTAAACATTGTCATTTGAATATCGCGTTATCGTTGAAAGTTCTAAAGGTCTTGAGTCCTATCTGTATTGGGATCATGAGCTCTTAATGTTTGGAAGTCTCGTACTGGAAAGAAATCAGTGTTTAACACCTACTTTGTTAACTGCTTCTCAAATCAATCCAATAGGAAAATGATCTTTAACTCAAGACAATATATAAAAACTCAATTAAACTTATTATTTGTCTAATTATTAGAGACTATATTAATTACAGTTAAAATTTATCAGAACCTCATTTTACCTTGACCTTATAGGATTGTTAAGAATCTAATCACTCCGATCTATAGTACGTTATAAACCAAACAGCCAATATTATGTTCAGCCAGTGACGACAATAAGATAACCAAGTTTCAGATATAATCGCATATGATTTTAAAATGTTTTATATTTGATTAGTTTATCGTACATATATTTATAACTCATTCTTTTTTGTGAATATTCTAGTTCGAATATGAAAAGTATTTATCAGAAGAACATACTTTCTTAAGATCATTAGGACTAGTTGAAGAGGATGATTAAGAAGAATAAAAAATGTGAAAGAAGAACATTCGTTTGTCTTTTAGAAATTTGTAACCTTTTGAAACGCTCTCTTTCACATGAATGTTATTAAATATATCGATTTTAATTAGGTGTACTCTTTTTGACCAGTTGTTTTTTTCAGGACCAATTGGAGGTTAGTGAGGTCATCTTTTGCATGTAGCTCAATTCTAGCTGTATATTAAACCTATCGTTTTAATTTTTATGAGATCGATATGTTACCGAAATTGAATAATAGGAACTCTTACTTTGTACAGTTCTATCTAAATGATAAGCAGAGAGACAAATAGATTTTTCTGACAGCATTCAGAATTAGTAGTGTAAACATGAACTTGTAGTGGCATTGGACAATAGCCACACAATCCACAAAGCTGTGAACACGAGACTACTCAGAAAATAGATATTCAATATTTAACGCGGAGAAATACCTAACAATGGAGAAGGCGCGAACAATGAATTGAATGGACTGGATTTGATCGGATGGCATGGCTCGGCCATGCAGGCGTGGTCCATCTAAATGTTACTTATATCTTCTATTCATATTAAATATATTGTTCCTTCTCTAGCCTAACCTTGTTCTACATCATGTATTGGTAATTGATACGATACAGTGAGTTGGTGTAGTCGATGGTGTGACTTCCACGTAAGATCTTATAGATTAGGCAGTTATATCATGACAAATATACAAATTTAGGATTAGGTCTATTATTAGAGCAGTACTAATATCATAGTAGACCATAGTTCTACATTGGTGAGCCCAACTAAAGAAGCTCAACCTATTATTGTTAATCCTTATTTCCACCTTAACCTTCTCAATCGATTTTTTATTTGTGTAAACCCATTATTCTAATAGTCCTCTGATTAATGCTCACATGTATTATCGTAATGTTATATTGATTAGTTCTCATGACATACTAGCTCAATCGATAATAAAAACTGGTCGTCTATATAAACTAATTAGCTTTGATGGTTCGTTAACAAGCTTTAATAGCATTTACATGCTTCAGCGACATAAACTTGTTTTAACATCAAGCTCTAGCAAATATGACCTGTAAATAGCGTAAATATACATTGACTAACAATGCAATCAAGGACTAAATAGTTATCTGGATCTTATTCTCAGTGTTCCTTCACTTAACACCTCATCCTGTTTTAAACTATGCACTATCCTGTAATATCTTTTCTTCCGACCACTGCCTGCCTAATTTCATATTCTCGAGTTCCATTGCCAAACAACAAGGGTGACACTTCTCCAAAAAATACGGTGAGTTCCAGCTATAAGTTTTCTGCAATCATAAGTTCATTTTAGATGGCTCATTCAATGGCACACACAATTATCTGGATTCATTCAGTTGTTCTGATCAGTGAGTCCCAAAAACCTCGACAGCATCAAGCACCCTGGAAGTGATTGCCATACTGCATGTTTTATTCTGGATGCTTTTGGATCATTACTCACGAATGGCGTTATATATGTCGTCCACTGAATAATCTAATTTTCAAAAATAATCCAGGCGAGTTCAACTATTTTACTTAATGATTTTTTGTACTTAACATGTATATGTTTTCCAGTTGCTTTTGCCATATATTTGTAAGTGTCCCTAGGCTAAATGCAGTAACTTCTTACGGAATGTTTATAACGCATCATATTCCTGCCTGAAGTTTCACAAGCAGTCTTAACTTTAAAATTATTTTCTGGTCATGTTCATTATTTTTAAATTGTCATATACGTCAACAACCTGCATGTTAACCTGGCCCATACATACGTTACACTATATCTTCATGTCTTCTAAATTTAGAAATCATCTGGATCGCCTTTAACATTTATCAATAAACCCATCATAGTCGTTGTTGCTAATCGTATTTGGGTTTATGGATTGGTTTATCATATTAGCAGCCTAAAATGCGAACATAGTTTAGATAATAAGATTAAAAATTTAGGTACTATCAACTGCACTAGTAAAATAACTAAATCCCTAGGTAGCTGTTGGCTAAACAAACGTTTAAAATCAAAACTCCGTAGCCTACTAGAATTAACACTAAACGAATATTTCTGAAGTAAAATTTATAATTAAATTAGGCGTCTCGGATTCTTTAACGTTATAAATTTCTGATAATTTCGAATCACCTAAAGCAACAATACCTATTTTTCCACTGACTAATCCTCATTCAACACTATAACTAGTTAAACATAATAGTTTCAGGATATCGTCATAAAGCATTGTCATGACTTGACAATCACGTAATATGATTGATAAAATTAATGAAACTATTAACAAAATCGGTCAGCAAATTGACTTATAATTATCACTAGTGTTGTTTTTCTTTTATCTTCATTCACTACAGATGATTACAGTATGTTTCTCTATCAGTTGCTCATTCAGTAAATATCTCAAAACCTTGTCAGTCTAATTGATGGTTTAGCGACACAATCATGCATGCAAATAATCAGTATAAGCAGTCGAGCAAATCTCCTGCAAACTGAAAACATCAATGTCGAATTTACCCCAACACTGACTAAGGTTCAAGCCATTATCATAGACATGAGTTGGGAGTGTACTCCCCTTGGTTACAACTTATGTTCTCCCTGATAATCACATGAGCATCACTCACTATTAATCATCTTGTAAAAACTTATTTAGCCAAATACATCTTGCAGCACCACATCACTTAGTAATATGACACATAAGCTTAACTGATTTCAATAACTTATAACCACTATATCTCAATTAAATCGTATTCCGCCTTATGATAAACTGCATACTTGCAACTAACTTGTATGCCCAATCAGCCGGCAAGTATAAATATAAATAAATAGTCTGCCACAGATCAGAACATTGAGTCTAGAGCATGTCTCTTACGAATACACTCATGTTTAACGATTTGTTCCTAGCTATCTGTCCAAAATTCATATAATTATCACTCACGTATTTAAATTTTGTTTTGATAACCATTCATGTGTATTAGTAGTATTACTAAATTCTATCACGGTCAAGTAAAAATGAGGTTGAGAAAATCTCCCCGTAACTAAATAAACCGTATCAAACTAACTGGAACACTAGTTGGAATTCTCCACGGTAATTTTTTTCCTTCAGTTAGCCTACTAATACAGATGCAATTGGAAATCAACTCATATGGACAACTTACCGGCATAATCGTTATTTGATTTCATAATTTAAACCAAAACTAATACCAATATTAACATTTCTACAATATTCATTACTTTAATATTTCTAAACACAAAATACTTACTACCTATACGTTAAGTTATTAACCAACGGCTATTAGCACGCATCGTTTTATTATTATTGTTATGCCATTCTTTATAGTTCAAATAATCTTCACCCAAATTTTCATTTCAAGCATGTTAAGCATGAAGGCAGATATTTTAAAATTATTACATGTATTTCCCGACCAGATGCTGCCGCTTTCTTTTTGATTTATCTTTCAGCTTACCAATACCCGGAGGATTCTTATTATCCTTGGTAACCTCCGGCGCGCGACGATCCCATCCAATTTGGTATCGAACCAACATCACGTTGATTCTGGTGGGAGAGTAGTGTAGTGGCATTGGACAATAGCCACACAATCCACAAAGCTGTGAACACGAGACTACTCAGAAAATAGATATTCAATATTTAACGCGGAGAAATACCTAACAATGGAGAAGGCGCGAACAATGAATTGAATGGACTGGAGTTGATCGGATGGCATGGCTCGGCCATGCAGGCGTGGTCCATCTAAATGTTACCTTATATCTTCTATTCATATTAAATATATTGTTCCTTCTCTAGCCTAACCTTGTTCTACATCATGTATTGGTAATTGATACGATACAGTGAGTTGGTGTAGTCGATGGTGTGACTTCCACGTAAGATCTTATAGATTAGGCAGTTATATCATGACAAATCTACAAATTTAGGATTAGGTCTATTATTAGAGCAGTACTAATATCATAGTAGACCATAGTTCTACAAACTAACGTATAAACTAAAGGGCTATATTGACTTTATGACTACTTTTTGGGGAAAGACATGGAAAATTTATAAACTCCACTATTTTTCTATGAGTTATTGTATGAATGACTATATAAATTCTTATCCACTACTAGGAAGTCTTTTCAGCTTCCTGTGTTATCTCAGTGACAGAAAAGTTATGCAGTTTTTCATACCGCTTAACTAACCGACTAATCTGTAACATAACCTGACAATCCTTTCGAGTAGTAAGAACTACTTTCTTGCTCACACTATAGTACACTTAACGCTCTGTAATAATGACTTTTGATTTTTTCGATACTTGAATTTATATTCGGTCTTTCGTGTGGTGATAGTGCTGGTGGCAGCCGTGTTACACTCACTACTGAATTAAATGTAATCGTAGATCCAAAATCGGGCTGATTATTTTTCGTCTTCGATATACACGTACGTTTTTGCATAAATCAAAGTACCGTTCCACACACGAAGGTAAGAGATAACTGAAGAGTCAGAAGCCATACTGTCTACGTAATTTATACAATCTGTCAATTAATAATGGCTGTAGTATAGTCGCGGTATATATTTTATGCAGGAGTTCCAAACTATGGTGAATATGTGGCGGTCAAATGAACTAATGACTTCTTTGTACTTCATGAATGCCTGATTTCGAATTCGAAGTACAGTACATTCATTTGTGCTTATCTAGTAATTCTTGATCCGATTCGTTATTTCCAGGATACCTAGTTTATACTATAATTCAAATACTCCTGATGATTATTGGATTTGCTGTACAATTATGTATTTTATGTTGTGTTTAAATTTGTTAAAACAATGCAAAACTATCACAGACTGTGTATTTCTAAATCTAGTTCTTAGTTGTGACTTGTTGGGTTCCAGACATACTAATATGTGAATTACTTAGTTAACTCATTTCAGATTCATGCAAACTTATCTGATTTCTATCAGCATTTATTTATTCAACGACAATTTTGTCTACTTTGTGAAATCAATTTCTATTCTTGAATTTACCATTTAGCTTACATTATGTATTGCAATTTTTGTCGCATTTTGTACACAAATCACTACACGTCATAGAATACAAAGTTTGTACTGTGACTCACCCGGTTAATTATCACGTGATGAGGTCGCCAGTCAGACCACGACCTATAAAATCTGGTTTGGTATTATTCATTTGTATCACATCTTCATCCCTCTTGACGAACAAGAACACCTGTTTAGCTAGAATCTCTTTAGACCTCGATGAAATTTCACCGAACTTCTACTTTTGGACATCACAAAGCGCGCCTTCGTAGACCATGTATGGAGATCTATGCCCATAGGGGGTTGATGTAAGGGTCCCTCAAACTGCTAACCTGTAAGTCTTATTTCAGTAACCTTCAAAGTTAAGGAATCTCTTGCCCATAATGGCACATGTCATTATCGATTTGAAACACATAAGCACGTTTGGGAGACAGTTACTCCAGGATAATGAATACTTCGATCAAGCTGACGAATAGACGAGTCCCTTAGAGCATCGAATGATTTCATATACATCAGTTTCTGGAAACATGACCTTAATAATCATGCTTGTCTTATCCAACTTTAGAGCGAATATATATCTACTCATCGTTGACTGATTGACTTGCTTTTCTTCAAACTGATGACTATTTTGTGTTTTTCATTATAGGTAGATACAGATGTTCCAGTGTGGTCAGTGTGGTTCATTATTAGGAGTTTTGCTTCACTCATTGTATAATATAACCTTTCATACCAAGTATTTTCTGAGATATTGCTTTTCTAATAATGTAAATCGTTAGACAGAATTTTGGTAATACATAAATAGGCTAATATATCTGGAGGACATTGTTCGACTTCAAACGTAGGTGAACAATAACGGACTGGATTTCAACTGCAAATAGTGTGAAATAGTCATTATCCAGGATGTGCAACCTAAACGAACCTCTGTTACGGACATCGTTGACTGATATGTGGTATGTAGATGGAACCATAGTCATATGCGCCATAGGTGAAGATACCAACTTTCCGTCATGAAGTTATGAGGTACACTAATATTAACACGAAAAGAACGATCAACTCCACCTAGGTATTATAGTTAGTATACTAAATGTTAATACTGTTAATGTGTCTGTCTGTAGAATATCTACATCGTCAGGGAAGTTCCAGTCTTTATAGTTACTGCTAGCTTCGATGAGAATGTTGTCTGATAGGATTGTTCTTCGTTGCACGAGAGATAATATTGAAGCGAAGCATATACTCAAACTATCAAATAATATCCACTTTTCCCTAAAAATTTCGAAATCGAAAGAAGGACCATGATATGTCGATATTAATCTTCCTCTCGAAACCTGTGATCGTGCCAAAATCTCCACACTCTCGAATGATCATTGGAATATACTTGTGCGAAAACAAGAGTTTAAACTAGCGATCAGCTGAACTTTTATACACCTGAACAAACCATTAATAAATGATTACATTTACCACTTTACATGAATGTGTAAACACACATCATCTCAAACACACATTCATTTGTAATGAAGATGGCACAGGCATTCAGTGTTTGGCAACGATTTTACCAGTAACACCTTCTAATATAACTCGTACCCACCAAGAGAAACCAAAAGGCAGAGTCGAGGAGATCGGAAGAGTGTATATGGCGATAACCAATATATCGGAATTCTCTGATCTAATCTGGCTAGCGATTGCGGTTGATGTTGAGCACAGCGTTACCACACGTGATCTGGTGCGGATGCATGACCGGGTGCCTTCAGCTAGGTGAGTCCACTAAAACTAATCTGGTCAGCATCCAATGTCGAAAACTTACAGAGCTATTTATTTTGGGGATTTATTTACCGCTACAGTAAGAAGGACCCTAGTCAAATTTACCGTGCTATACAAGTGTTAGGCGATGAACACTAAAGTTCATTTAAGCCTTGAGCATGAAAATATTTAAGCTCTCTACGTGCGTGATAGATAAGTTTTGTGTCACCTTGAAACCGTCTGAAAAATACTGCTTTTTAGTCTAGATGTGTGTGATTCACAGGGTTAAATATCATTTTTGTTTTTCCCTATGTTTCAATTTATTTGATCTTTTAGTCTTCGTTTAACTGCCTTTACACGAAAGTGTAGGACCAGGTTGTCCGAAATGTGGTACGTTTGTAGCGTGGTGTCGAGTCGAGATTGACTATGAACACCGCTACCAAGAAACACGTGCCAAGTAAATCAGAAGGCGAAGGTTGAACGTTGAACATACCTCGGTAAATTGAAGCCACTGATGCTCTCATGCCACCATATTCAGAGGCTCGATAATACGAATCTCCATACAATTCATCCAAAACTATTTGACTTGCATGGATATCATGAAGCAATCTGAATTGAACTTCAAACATCAAAGTACTGAACATTTGTTTTTTATCAGTAGAGGACTCAGTTGTCCCTGTAACGATCCTGGGCACTGAACTCGAAATCAACAACTGCGGTCAGACGCTTAACCTCTGAACCTTTAGGTTGATATTCGGAGTTGCCGTTGTTCTACCTGAATTTATAGTATTCTAGAGTTGGTAGATTCGTAGTTTCTATGAAATTGAACAATTTCTACAACCCCATAACGAAACCTTCAGATTATTGTTTATTGAAAGTATTAGCGCCTGAACATGTATTTGCGTTACGGCTCGTAGTACAAGTGGGATGGTCCGTGGGGTTTTTGTCTGTGTTGCCGCGGGGGCTGGCATTATTTTTGCAGGGTATTGTTTTTATTTTGACAGAAAAAGACGGAGTCACCCTGATTTTTGGAAAAATCTCAGAAAAAGTGGGTTAATTTTAGTGAATAATATTGGAATAGAGAGGATGGAACAAAAGGCTCTTGAAGCTCAAAAGTCATCCACTTTCCCATTGCCACCTATAAATGATCAGACTGGGATGCAGAGATTTTTTCTTCAACAAATACAACAAGGAGAAACTGCCCTGAGCATGGGCTCTTTAGACGAGGGTGTCAACCATTTTGCTATTGCCGTTGCTGTTTGTGGTCAACCCAATCAGTTACTACAGGTGCTCCAACAGTCACTTAGCCCAACTGTGTTTCTAAGACTTATTGAGGTCCTTCCTTCGGTGCAATCTGTGAGTAGCTTGCTGTGTTTTTGGCAACGTTTTCCGCCAGTGTCACAAACGTTTTACTGTTGGTTTTACATGACTATCGAGAGGCTTTTTATTTATTAATGGAAAGCCATTGTATAAGTTGCAGTGCATTTAATCTTTTGTCTGATTCAAAATGAAGCAAAGACGATGTATCCCTCTATCAATAAAAGACAAGTATACTGCGCGGAAGTTCGTTCTGTTCTAGTTTACTACTGGGAAACAGCCATTTAGGGTAGAGGATACTCGTAAGTTACTAGTATTTTAATGACACGTATCTTATAAATATTGCTCGCATCTGCTGGACCACTAGGTAGGTAGTGAGGTTAGATGCAGGCTATTATGGAATGATAGTTAATGTTGTAAATCTTCACCGACTGATGATTGGGCCACTTAGTGCGCATGCCTGAACACCGACTACCACGACGCGCGATACTGTCTAGTGTAAGAGATGGTTAGAAGGAAGTTAAAAGTGACAAAACCAGAACGTGGCATCAGTCCTTGAAGTCACTAACTTCTGGTCTGAGCCATTTTGGTAGATGCAGACTACATTGCTGGGGTCTGTGCCACAATCGTTACCAATGATTGGAGAATGGGTGACATGGCTCAGAATCTATCACAATGGCGTTGGTGTATACACTGTCTCTCCTTATATTGTGAAATTGAAATTGCTTTATATCTTTCTACGAACTAATTCTTTCTCCTGTACTATATCATTATATACATTCTTTCTTTTATATATTACTACCATTGGAATAACTACTATGAATTTAATGTTCATCTTGTTGTGCTAATGGGGTATGACAACTTGGACTGATGCATATATGTGCCTGGTCCTATGTTGTAGTTGACTAACTGACTGAGTTCCAGTGTTAGAATGAGAGTAGAATACGGGAAGTTTATTGTCCTAACAAAGTTGCTTAATACCAATGGCTCAGAGGAGTTCGCTGACTTAAATAGGTACACCCGGGTAAAGATCCATTATCTGACCAATGTTCTATGCAATAGGCCGTTCAGTGGTGCACTTTCAAAAGATCGGTTTAACTTTAAAAAAATGTCTTTTATTCTCTACTATTGACTTGCTTTTTATCAACACTAGATTTTATCCACCATACAAAAGTCATTACTCCAAGACAACAAGTAATACGCAAGATGTTGCTGCGTTCATATTTTAGTATAATATTGTTAATGAGTCTAAACAAATTGACAAGTATTCCCATCCGGCTACTTTAACTCTCAGGTTCTTGACTTCGAAATAATTTATTGCATTTTGTAAATGTATGGTTTAATCCCACCTCAGTCTAATTAAAGCAGTCAGGTTTTTACGCTTATGTCGTATTGTCACGAGCTTGCTATGGTGATTTATCCTTCTAAATGTTTTTTAGAAACTCAGCAACTATGTGATTTCACTGTTGAGTTTCATCAAAACACAAGTATTTGATAAAACAAAATATGTAAATTGCCTTCAGAATTTCGCTCAATTCATTTTCAATAAATGAGTCAGTTAATTTACTCGTAGATCAACTAGTGTACATAAAAAGATAGTCGATCATAACTGTCGCTCATGAGATCCCATAGTTACTAAATCTGTAAAGTGAGTTACGGTTTTGACACTTATTCAAAATTAGGGTTAGGCATTCCTATTAGATTGTCTCCGTACATAATGTTGCTATTATTGGTCATCTATCTACATGTCATTGTGATACCTGGTCTTAGTCGTTTATCTTTTGATAATAGGATAGTAAGGTAATCCGTTCATGTATATTAGTAGTGGGATGGTTTGTCAGATATCAGGCTCGTCAAGCCAACTTTTCCTCATATATTTTTGTTACTACAAAGCGTTGTTTATGTTTGTGCAATGTCTAGTAACCTCAGTGGGGTACACTCATAATTCTTTATTTTTTTGGATTTTCAGAAATACAAGACGATGATCGCTAGTCGTACATCATCAGCACGAGAAATCGAAGAAGATCTGGAATAGAAGTATCTTAAATTGTTAGTGTACAATTTGACTCCAAAAAATATATTAGTTTTTTATATTACTGGTTCTCAGTAGTAAGATGGTTTTTGGTTATAACCGGTTTGTTTTGATTTTTAGTTATTGCTAACTGGACTTATCATTGTTCTGGTGTTGCATAGATCACAAGCTGACTTAGACCCTTATGACATGTTCGGAGGGCTTCCCATGGACCAAGAACAAAGTGTGTCAGCGCTGCGGAGCACTGCTTCTTTTTTGGCTCCTAGTCCATCGAATTCTTTAGCTGCTAACCATCATCAAGAGCAGCACAAAATCCTTGTCCGAACTTTGTGGCGGAATATCAACCCAAGAAATTTACCAAGTATCCCATCAAAACCCCAATCAAAGTTCAATTGGAATTTGTATTGCAAGAGAAAGATATATATATATTAAACAAGTACTGTAATTTAAATAATGACTCTGAAAACCGTATATCACCTGATTTAATAAACAATATTTTTTCAGAAATTGTCCGCCCGGTCGCGATCTCTAATAATTCATATTTGTTTCAGTGGTTAACTACGTACCGTCCTTCTGGATATTTTCATTGTCTTGTGCCATTGCTTTTGTCTGGTTGTTGATCATTTTCCGCTCTCGATACATATTCTTCACGCTAATTCCGTGTGGGTTGTGTATCCTAATATTTTGTCAATCAGTTTACACAAAATACAATGCACGATTGGCTCGAAAAATGTCTGTCTTGTCTCGGCATAATGGTCCTCCTGATGACTGTAAACCTTTCCATCAACAAACTTGGCCACAGATGCTTAGTACTTATTTCTCCTCTCGTCCAGCGAACGACGAATGTGCGCGTTACTATGAAGAAGTGCTATCAGAACCGTTTCTATCCACCAGTTTATACGAAGTATGTCTGGAACTAATATGTCAACCAGTTATCTCATTATGTAAAATTTTGGGTATTGGGGTTGGACAATTATATCACAATTTGTCAGAATATGTCCCATTTTGGATTGCACCATTCATCTGTGCATTCTGTATGTTTATGGGAGTTTTCGCTTTTGTTAAAACAATACACAGTTTTACTGGGCCGCAATCACGCAAACGCCGAGTGCGACATAAGATCAAATCATCATCAGTACCATCAATTACTTCTTGATGTACGTCTTGACTTTCCGATTTTACTTTGTACCTTACATCTTTCGGTGAATTGTGAGTAGTGAATTTGTATTTACTCTTATTTTTGTTCCAATAAATGATTGCTCAATTAGTTCATTTTACTGTATGAGTTTAGTTGAAACAAAAGAGATAGTTTTAGGTTTAATTGGTTCAGTTGTTTGTGTAGTGTGAGATAATTTTATATTAAACTACCAACAGGTACCTATCACTAACACTAAAATGTACTCTCGTCATCCTACGGACTAACGCATACTCTTGTAACTTGTACTTACTACCAGTTTTCTCACTTAGACAGTCATTATTAACGCTTCCAGCTCAGAGAATACTATCTACAAATTCATAACACCACACTTAAAACGATTTTTTCCCATACTCTTTCAAATCGACCAACTGATCGAACTATCCAAGTCTTTAATTGTGTCATGATAAACCGGCATACAGGAGAAATTTTATTTGATATCGCTTGGTCCACATAAATAGAATTCAATTGTTACTCGTCATCATGTACTAGCCAACATTAAATGAAACAAAAAGGTGCTGGAGATGACCAGAGTGTAAGGTACTTTAAATCATGTGGTTTTAAACAGTTTCACTAGCGCAAATTGATGTACTTTTGTTCTTCAGAGTCTCAGGCATTGTGGCTTTAGTGTTATTAAATTCGTCCGTTCAATTACTTGGTTCTTTAATAAAAGGGGATAGTTGTGGTCGTAGAGATTTAAATTATTGAAAGGATTTCAGCTTGCCAATAGGCTCATGTATTGATTTCTGAGAAAATCAATAGGTGCCAAATTAAACATTGGTTTTCGTTACTAACCCATACGTCATCAAAACAGTCCGAGGATTGTGCGGCAAACATTTCAGGGCATAGTGATTGATAAAAAAATATCATTAAGCTCTTCGAGGACATTCGATGAGCGTCGAACTGAGCTAGATACTGGGTTGTACGTTTACGTTTCCAGAAGTAGCTCGTGTAACAAACCTAAATTTTCGTTTTTCAAAGTAAATTAGAGACTTGTTTGAAAAACAGAAATAAGATCATCTGGGTGATTGTAGATGACTTGGAATAAATTGTTCGATAAATATATTTAATATAAGCTTCATATATACAAGTGACTATAAGCACATTTCCCGACCGAAGCTGCTACCTTGACGCGGTGGTCGGGCTTGCCTATCGTGATGACCCAACCGAGCTATATTGGCTGGAACATATGTTCCTGTAGGTTCTACCATGCCAGGCAGGTCGATTGGAGAACGGTAAGACTAAAAGCAGCAACTCAAGGTCTGAGGGCGAAGTCGTACTGCTGACTGTAGAGGGTGTGACAGCAGTAAGGTGTTTCCCTCGGACAACCAGCATGACAGCGATGCTGCCTTCCCACAAGGAGGGGTGGGGTTAGAAAAGGTCGACCCTAAAAATGTCACACCTCACCTTACCTCACGGATTTCCGTCTCCGGCGGTAAGGCCCTTTGAAGAACGGAGCTAACACGTCAAAAACCTTCCACAAAAAGGCCGTGCGCGACCGGCCTCAAGCAGTTGTCCCTTGGGCTCTGCGGTCACGCTCCCAGGTCGTCAAGACCAACACTAATCCAATTTCCTTTTCAGGTTCCTCAAGAAATACCCTTCCACGGTGTGGGCAGCCGGGAAGTGACATCAGCCCTCATACCCGTAACAGCACAAGAGACCAAGGTGGTCACATTCAAATCCTTCCTACACCTCCTAATACCTCTCTTATCTCCATGACTAACCCTCCTCACGTCTCTTTATCACCTCGCACCGCTAGGGCAAACGATTCGAGTACGTGGAACGCCATTCCTGGTCTCCTGAAACCACGCTCTAAACTACACGTAGGAGCTTTTAACGTACGAACACTTTGCCAAATAGGACAGCAGGCTTCCTTAGCTAAACTTTAGAATCTCGCGCCATCGATGTGTGCTGCGTCTCCGAAACGCGCATACAGGATCCGAGTAGCGTCATTCATTTGACCTCACCATGCCAAAATAAAGAACCGACTCGATTTACGCTTCGTGTATCTGGAAGCCCTGATTCTGCTTCCCGTGGCCTCGCCGGCGTAGGTATAGCATTGAGTCCTAGGGCAGAACTAGCTCTCTTAGAGTGGATCCCAGTAGACAGTCGTTTGTGCGCTGTCCGACTGAACGGAACAGTAAGAATCCGGAAAGATAGGGACACTCGTCGTTGCCTCTTCGTCGTCTCTGCCTATTCTCCCACTGACTGCAGCTCAGATGATGTAAAAGATGAGTTTTACAGAAAGCTTTCGGACCTTCTCCGAAAAGCTAGGCGCTCGGATGTAGTAATAGTGGCCGGTGACTTTAATGCTCAAGTAGGTAAACTAAGCGATAGGGAAAGACACCTAGGTGGATCTTATGGTGTCGTGGCTCAAAGAACAGATAATGGCGACCGTCTGTTGCAGCTATGCTCAGATAACCGCCTGTTCCTTGCAAATACTAACTTTAAGCATAAGGAAAAACATCTTTTAACATGGCGACCCCCTAATTCGTCCCAACGTTGGACCCAAATAGATCACATCGCTATCAGCCACCGATGGAGGGGCTCGATAGAAGACTGTCGCTCATTCTGGAGCACATGCCTAGATTCAGATCATGCTCTAGTGCGAGCGCGTATTTGCTTGCGTCTTACTGGACGTAGGAAAGACGCTGCAAGGAAACCTCTTAGGGCCTACTTAATGATAGTCAAGCTAAGAGTATATTTCAGGAACAACTAGGAAAACAGTTAGGCAGCCATGTATGTGATGCCCACCCCGATGCAGCATGGAATGATATCCGAAAAGCTGTGGAAACAGCAGTGATATCTGCTAGTAAGGTAAACCGGAAGGTTAGGGAGCAACACTGGATCTCAGCAGCATCTATCGCACTGATAGATGCTCGGAAACTCATTCCACCTGGCTCTGAACATAATGAAGAGCGGAGTCAGCTTAAGCGCAAGCTGACAAGAAGTCTACGCAATGATCGCGAACAGTGGTGGGTAGCGAAAGCAAGAGAGATGGAAAAGGCAGCGGCAATAGGTAATAGCAGACAATTGTTCAGACTCGTTAAGGAAACCGGAATTAGGAAACCGACCGTTAGCGAAACAATCTCAGAGAAAGATGGACATATTATTCATTCTCAATCCAGGAGATTGGATCGATGGGCAGAACACTTTAGGGATCAGTTCAACTGGCCTTCAGCCACACTTCGGTTTCCCACGATCTCCAGTCAACCTGAATGGCAAGTTAATGTAGGTCCTCCGTCCCTTTACGAAGTTGAAAAAGCCATAGGAAATCTGAAACGAGGGAGAGCAGCAGGCCCTGACAGGTTTACTCCTGAGATTTTTAAGGATGGTGGTCCAGTATTAGCAATGAGATTAACTGAGGTCTTAGGTAGAATTTGGGAACTGGACGTAATCCCATCTGACTGGTCTCAATCACTGATTGTGCCAGTCTATAAGAAAGGACAAAAGTCCTCTTGTGACAATCACAGAGGAATCAGTTTGACTAATATAGTGTCTAAAATATTAGCTTCAATAATACTTCGACGCCTAACAAAGCTCGTGAAGAGCAGACTAGAGAAAACCAGGCTGGTTTTCGACCTGGACGTGGTTGTATAGATCAGATATTCACACTACGTCAGGTTCTAGAACACAGACACACATTCAGACGCCCCACAATGGTAGTATTTCTCGACCTTAAGGCGGCATTCGACTCTGTTGATCGTGAGGTTCTATGGCAGTGTTTGTCACTGAAAGGAGTACCAAAGAAGTACATTAACCTTATAAAGGCTCTCTACTCGAACACAACTGGTAGAGTGAGAGCTTA